TCAAGTGGGCAAGTGCTGTGAATATTAACTTACATTTGTACTTTCTTGACCATTGATTTTGTTTTATTTTCACATAATTTTGTACTAAATTTTGATTGGCATTATGTATTTTATTTATCAAAAATTAATGTTATGTATCCATCCGTTTTTTCAATTATTTCGGAAATACAAAACGTGTTAGGGAATTAATATGTGCGAATTTGTAGAATATCTTATTCTGTGGAATTCTCAAATACTTGTACAAAGAGATTCTTTGTATTTTGTTTTTTCATCACCGCCTCTGTGCATTTTCTAACGTTATATTCATATTCTCTGGGAATTGTTCTTTTCTTTCTCAGATACTTCTTTGGAAGGGAATTTTCCTCTCCAACCTAACGTATCCTCTTCTAAGATTATATTCTGCTTTAACGACTTTACTTCCGATTTTTCGACCACACGGCTTCGCAGGGTTAATGAGTAGTTTAAAAATTAGATGCGTGATATTAATCCTTGTCTGAATGTGTTATGATAAGGAAGATAATAAACAAGATATATTATAAAAGACAAATGGCGGACGTGTTACACACAATGTTTTTTATTACTTATAATTATTCTAGATATTCAAAATAAACATTTCACACTTTCAAGAGTTAAGAAATGCCATTACTCTCGCTGTTCTGTAGCAAGTATAATAATTGGTACAGTTTTTAAATAACAATCGCAGCGCGCGGAAGGTCCAAAATTACGAAGGGGAACAAATGGGATAAAGCGGGGCAAGAATGACGAAGAGGGCAAGGGGACAAAATGGGACAATGGGGACAAAATTGGAAAAGGGAAAGAAGGTGACCAAATGGGGAAAGGGTGACAAATTAGACAAAGGAACATTGGGACAATGGGACAATATGGAGCAAAGAGGACAATATGGAGCAAAGAGGTCCTCTTAGCTCTATTGTCCTCTTTGCCTCCCATATTGTCCTCTTTGCTCCTATGTCCCTTTGCTCCCATAACTTGTACCTCTTTTGCTCCATATTGTCCTCTTTGCTGCATATTGTCTTCTTTGTCCTAATTTCCTTTTCTCATATTGTCCTCTTTGCTCGCATATTGTCCTCTTTTGCTCGCATATTGTCCTCTTTTGCCGCTCCATATTTCATTGCTCCATTCCTTTTGCTCCGATTTCATGCTCCATGTTGTTCCTCTTTGCCTCCATATTGTCCCTCTTGGCTTCCATATCTTTTGCTCATTGTCCTCTGCTCATTTGCTCTCCCAATCATGTCCCTCTGTCTAATTTTCACCCTGTCCCCATTTGTCCCTTCCTTTCCCATTTCCAATTTTGTCCGCCATATGTCCATTTTGTCCCCTTGCCCTCTTCGTTCAGTCCTTGCCCGCTTGTATCCCATTTGTGCCCCTTCGGTCATTTGGAACCTGTCGCGCACTGCGATTGTTATTGTAAAACGGTACCAACCTGTTCCAACTACTAAACTGCTACAGAACACGAGAGATAATGGCATATCTTAAACTTTGAAAGTGTGAATGTTTATTTTGAATATCTAGAATAATTATAAGTAATCAAAAACATTGTATGTAACACGTCCTCCATTTGTCTTTATAATATATCTTGTTTATTTCTCTTCCTTTATCATAATACATTCAGACAAGGATTAATATCATGCAGTCTAATTTTTAAACTACTACATTAAACCTGCGAAGCCGTGTGGTCGAAAGATCGAAAGTAAGTCGTTAAAGCCAGAATATAATCTTAATAAGAGGATACGTTATGTTGGAGAGGAAAATTCCCTTCCAAAGAAGTATTCTGAGACAGAAAAGAACAATTCCCAGAGAATATGAGTTATAAACGTTAGAAAATGCACAGAGGCGTGATCGAAAAACAAAATAACAAAAGAATCTCTTTGTACAAGATGATGAATTCCACAGAATAAATATTCTACAAATCGCAATATTAATTCCCTAAGCACGGTTTTGTATTTCCTAAAATAATTAAAAAACGTGATGGATACATAACATTAAATTTTGATAAATAAAATACATAATGCCAATCAAATTTATGTACATAAATTATGTGAAAATAAACAAAATCAATGGTCAAGAAAGTACAAATGTAAGGTGTAATATTCATAGGCACTTGCACTTGAACATGTAATAATTAAGTTTTATTTCTTCAAGTCAAACCACAAGTTAAAAGGTTTAAAGTGTAGTTAATAATTAATACCAAATCTTATACAAATTTATAATAATGTTGATTATACATTTGTGTGTAGGTGGTATTGATCTTGATATCGAAACAAAATCTCTTGACAAAGAAATGAGAAAAATCCCTACTGGCATCAATGTTTAAGGAACAAAAGGAGTACATGTGAACCCATATTCCACACAAATGCTAACTAAATAGAAATAAGAAGAAAATGGAAGTATTTTCAGAAAGAGTTATTCGGACAAGTTTAGTCCACATGAAGAATGTGAAGGAAAACTTGTTAACTCTACCCTCAATTGAGCGAAAATGGCGACAATTCCATTTCACTTTATGAAACATTTGTGCTTATGCATGAATGTCTTCTTAAGGATTGTTTTGCGGTTTGCAACATGCAACCACAGTGAATAAATGATAGTTTTCAAGTTTTAAGATTTTTTTTGAATTGTGAATTAATTTTATAACGTATAAAATTAACGTCGTGAGTTGCGCGTAGTTTAATATTTTAATGTCCTGTTTGAGTTATAATGTGGAATGGTAAAATGAAAGACGACATGTGGTAATTTTACTTTCCAACGAACCCTGTATCCGAACGACCCATTCCATGACCCTAAACTGCATGGTGATTATGAAAACAGGAACTGTTTTGGAAACGGTTTGTGTTTCTATTCCTTAGAAAAATTTCCTGATTCCCGAACATATAACGTAAGACAGAAGGCTAAAAACTGTCTTTCTTTCCCATCAATTACTCGTATTTTATACCCTGTACCATTTTTTTTTTTATTTTTCGTTGTGTATCGATCTACTTAGTGAGTTTGCATTAACCGTCGACACACCTTATGCTTACTATACATTTCAGTAAACTTAATCTACATATTTTTCGTATTATAAGGTAAACTTATTTTTCATTTGGTTTATCTCACTTACTACTCTCCTGCCACTGTAGTCTGATTACCTAAACAACTCGCCCCACCGTTTTCAAGAGCTCGCCAGAAATACGGTCAGTCAAGATCGCCAAGCTAGACGCATCAGCCTCATCAAGCGAATTAATCGTCCTCTCGTGGTAGAAAACGCAGGCGTTTTCGCATTCAAGGTCGTCGGGGGGGGGGGTGGCGCGATACCTGGCCCGAGCCGTTCCCCGCTGCCCAGGCCGGGGCGCCGCCCGGATGCGAGTGTTTTAGGAATGCAAGGCGCGCCCCCTCGCTGCGCCGGGGCCAGGCGAACCTGCGGTCCCAACAAACCCTCGGCCCTCCTCGTAGCTTTGTTGAAGAGCTGGAAACAAGATGCGTTTCCAACGATCCTCGACGATTATTGATTGCCACTAAGAACAATAATTCAATCAACTTGTAATCCATTGATTAATGTAGATGGATTTATGACCGAAATGTTCCCAAATCTACATTTTTAGAGTAGATAATGAAGCCCCCAAAAACAAAAGTGAAATTGTATTGTAATAAGTCAGTGAAATGATTTTTCTTCTGTATTTTACTTAACAGCAAGTCAATCGAAGTTTTTGATAGAGAATGCACATGCATAACACATGCCTTCAGAATACGTATGTCATTAATGCACTGTTTGTGATCAGTCCAAAACATTGAAAATGCGAAATCGTAATTTTCGTCAACACTGAAGCTTCGTAACAAAACCTTTGTAAGAATCTCCAGACTTAATCATTGAATTTCGTAAAGAAACGATCTTTACTTTAAAAGATTGTTCGATTAGTACGTTTTGTTAAATATAGTTCTTAAGTTCGTTACCTTAATCATTGTCTGAAATTCACAGGCAATTATTTCTCAAAATATAAAAAACGGCATTCAAACACTCGAGAATTAAAGAGGTAGTTTTCTTTAGAAATGAAAGTATTCTTAGAAAAAGCCCGCTGTTATTGGTCGCTTTTTTTATTTTTCTTTTTTATTGCTTTAAACCCATTATCAAGGAGAGCTAATTTGCTTACGAAAGCTTCCGTTAAGAAACGACCGGAACCTAGTCAGAGAAGGACATTAGTGATACTGGGCAAGAGAAAGATTCATGTTCTTCCCAATTAAGTCTCCAGTATCGTGGCGACGTCCGTTGTTCGTTGGACAACTGTCAACAAAGGTGATACTCGGAACACAGACGAACTGAGGAATACCGAATAAGCAACTCAGCTCATCTTATTTCATTGCAATCTTCAATAGAGCACTCGAGGAAGTGTTCCCCGTAATAGAAGCCCTATCATTCTCAACGACGTATAAGAAACAACCACTAGATCTTTGTGTTATAATGTTGTGATAGTTAATTTGAACATGATCTTGAGTAATGTCATTGCAAATACTAGAGTATTTCTAAAGCGAAGCACTAAATATAATATTATATAGCATTTCAATTTATATTCGACACATCTGCACGCCGGGCTATTACACGTCACGTTTTATATAAAATGAATGATTTGCAGGTCTAGCGACAGCAAATACTTTGGCAGAAAGTAGTCCATCTGCCCTCCACATGCCCTGAAATCCACTTCAAGGATTTCCAGTGGAGTCATCGGAAGGTCCGCGACCGAGACAGGATTTGTGTTCCACTCCTGTGCTCATTCTCCCCGATCGAAAAAGAGAACATGCTTTGCTTTCCTTTTGAATGCGTGGGCAGTCAAGCCGGCTGTTGGAACAGGGAAAGGCACTTGTCTCGAAAACAAAAGTTGTCTTGTCGCGCATTACTTACTCGCGAGCACTTTATTCTTCTTCCAGATGTGAGCTCCTGACGAGATTTTAAAACATTTTACGCTTCTGCAAGTAAACCTCCTATTCAGCAGCACGAATGTTTATGTTCGTTTAAGCTCGGTTCAAATAAGAAGCTGAGTCGGGATGAGGAGAAGGAAGAGAGGAAACAGGGGAAGAGAAGACGGAGAAGAGAGAGGGAGAAGGAAAAGGCGGCGGAAGTAAGAAGAGAGCAATTCCAGCAAAAAAGAAAAAAGAACGGAACTAAGGAAAGATGAGAATTGCACCCGCAAAATCATTCTTTAAACCAGAATCGGATACGGAAACGTCGCGCCATTAAATCGTCCTAGTGTCGTATCTCTCTCCTTTTGT